GTTTTTCCTTTTCAAAAGAAAAGAAAATTTTCAGATAGTCTTAATTCATACCCACAATATTTAACGCAAAGTCATAAATCGAAATTAAGTATAATTCCAGGCAAAATTATTGTATAGAAAAATCAAAATTTCAAGCAATAATTCTGGGCATAACTCCAGGCAAAATCAAGTTTTAATTTCAAGCATAATTAAGTTTAATTCTATACTTTCAAGTATAGCAACGTGTAAAAAGCAACAAGGCATGGTTACAATATTAAAAGCGATTCATCTGTATAAACACAACTTTTTAAATTAATCTGAAAATTCACAATGTATATCTAATTCAGAATTAGATTACAAAAATACTGTGTTAATTGAAAAAAATATTGACCTGATGTTTAACTATACAACAGAACAATTTTTTTTTCAATTTACGAAATTAATCAATCTCCAAAATTAATTATTACAATAATTTGGGCCTTTAGATTTTCAATAAATAACCAGGAACATTTTTACTCGAATATTTTATTTTTCACTTTTATTAGATTTTTTTCTAAAATAATTCCAATAATAATCAGTAAGTGGAGAAATAATTTAGTTCCAATTTATTTAAAACTTAAGCTTATAACGCGTCATTTTTTTTTAATAAAACAAATAAATATTATTAATAAAGTCTAATAAAATAAATCGGTTGGTATGTCTAGTGATTTCTTTTTCGCAGAAAAGTTTAGATAAGAAAATTACACTAATGAAAGCAAAATTAAAGCCAATAGCATAGCTCTTTATATTCTTTATTATTCGAAATTTTTTTATTCCAAATTAAAAGATAATGGAAGTATAATGAAATAAGAGCATTGCATGATGCGTTTTTTAATTGACTACGTAATAAAAAATTACAAGTAAAAAAATGATACGAGTAGTGTGAAAACCTGCAACTTACTATAAAATAAATTTTGCTATTTTTTTCTTTTTAATTTTGTTACTAAATATGCCCAAGTATTCTTTAAGGTATTCTGTTAGATTATTTATCATTATATTATTATCACTATTAATCAATTCATGTAATATATATCATATTTAAAGATAACGATTAATTTTTTAGAGAGTTTTACTGGTAAATAATATTTAGACAAGTCAAGATTTCATTGAAATTAATCAAAATTATTAACATTCTCATAAGAGGAAAGTAAAAATTGTTTTTTGCATGATATATGAAACAAGTTTTGAGAGTAATGCATTTCCGAATAAGAAATTTTGATTTATCACACTTTTTAACTTACTGATCAATTAAAAATTCCCTAAATTTAAACTTTTTTGCAAATGAATTACAAGTAAAAATTCCAAAATTTCTCCTTTATTTTTGCTTCTCTGATACTACATCTAGTAATACTCAAAAGCTAGTTTTCTGTATAGCCAAATAATAATGGAATCTCAGGCTTGTTTTCAGATCAAAATATATAAAATTGAAATATATAACTTTTTTTACTGCCACAAATAGAACTGGGTATAGTATTAAATATAATTTTTAGCAAATCACAGATTTATCTTCTTAAAGGATTAAGCAGATTAATCATCTTAGTTTTTCCTCACGAAAATATTAAGATTACACAAAATCATTTTTACTGAATTGGAAATGCGAATAAAATAGTCAAAATTAAAGACACTGTTAAATATTGATAAAAAAAAACAATGAAATTTATTAGAATATGTATACAAATTTCTGCATATAAAATTTTTTTTTAGTAATCTTATATAACTTTAATAGAAAATAAAATAAAAATTTGAACAACAATAATTTTAAAGTTGCTTTTGTATTAAAAACTTCACTATTATTAAAGGAATTTAAAGAATATATATGAGATAAATACACACTCTAACTTTCTATAATACTAAAAAAAAATCATTTAAAATAGTATATGAACATTTAAACAATGGGATTAGTATATGTCCTGATAATTTCTTGTTATTTTCATTGAAGGTAATTTCGCTATTAGCTGTTGCCTTTTCATTTTGACGTTGTTCAATTGCTTCATCGATATTCTCTTCAGAAAGAGTATAGCCAAACATTTGAGAAAAAGATTTAATATCAACATCGTTTGAGAAAAAATCCTTTTCTGAATCTTCAGCGTAGATAGCAAGAGTTACTAAAGTTTTGTGAAGAATTTCAATATCGGAAGTCATTTTTTTTAAAAAACAGTGAATAGATAATAAATAATTTAGTATATTAACAAGTTGAGTTATAAATGAATTATAAGTTTAACTGTTTTCTTTGATAAGAATTGAGCAAAGGGTAAAGAAAAAACTAGTATTATTTGTTTACTGGATAAATATTGTTATATATCGATATATTTAGGCTTTTATGTGCTTGTTAAACAATTTTTATTTGTATTTTCATAAATAAAAAAAAATACATAAGCTTAAATACTCTTTCTAAAAACAGAATTTTACGAAGTAGATCGATACCGCAGGTTAATTTTCGGCTGAGTTTTATTTGATAAACAAAATTTAATGGTTTACTTTTATTTAGCAATGAAATGCCTAATTTTCAAGAAAAATTTTTTGATAAATGAGATCGTTTGACTAACACGTTCGATTTACAGAGCTCATATTTAATGTTTAGTAAATACTTTTTTTGGCAATGACTAATGCTAAGTTATGGAGTTGGCACTGAATTTATTCATATTGATATTGGGAAATACTTTTTTGATAAACGAGATTGATATAGTGATGTGACCCGAATGGATTTCGAGTCACATCACTAGATTGATAAGCTAATATGGCCGCCAGCCAATCAAATAATTTGTTGCACATGATTATCCAAACTCGTTAGCTGGTTGGTAATTTGCTTAATATAGCAAGCATCTTTTCTCTAACCAATTACAAATAGAAAATCGTATATACAGAAATTTTTAAGGCACGAATATTTGAATTTAAGAAATAAAATTTATTTCATTATAAAGCAAAGTTCATGACTCGGAAGTAGAGGTGCGATCCGTAAAACTATAGTTTATTTATACGTATTGTAATTCACAGTTCGCATCTCTAACTTGAGAGCGAGTGTTTAAAATGTGACACAAATAACAATAACGCTAAACCGGTTAGTGTTATGTATTAATTGACTTTATTGAAACAAAGTCCTGGGTTTGACAATGACTTTTATATAAATATACTTCGATTAAGAAAGCAGACAATTCTAATATTTTTTTTTCGGGCTTTTTTTTTCTTTTACGAACTTGGAACACTATAAATGAACCTACTTTTTTCTTATCAATTAAAGAAAAAAATTACTTTCCTTAATGGCATCTTTTTTTTTCATATATATACGCACATACATGCACACAGTTTAAAGAAGAGAAAAAAATAAATTAAAAATTAAAAATGAACTTTTAACTTGGTTGGACTATTTCAGTATTGTGACAATTAGCCTTCTTGAGCAAGACATCAGCTCTGAGGCTGTTACAGCTTCAACAGCTCGTTGGTTAACTTAATTTTTTGAAGATAATGAAATGAACCATCAATCAGAATGTTTAAATATAGTTAATTCAATAATATCTGAAACTGTTCTGTAAATAATGAATCGAATACTGATGACCCTAAAGAAATGATTGACAACGATAGTATATTTTAGACTAATCAAATTATTATTTCTGCAGCAATGCAGTTCTTCGATTGAATATTAATGATAAAGAATGATATTAATCAGAGGTATTCTCATATTAAGTATGAGTTCTAGATTTTAAAAAAATATTAGTAACCATTATATAAAGATGTCATATATCATTATAATCAGAATAACATAAAGTCGTTATATTAATAATCAAATAGAATACCCTTTAGTTAGTTATATATTAATTTAGTCTATGACTAAGAGTATTAATTAACGGAATTTAGAAAACTATCAAAATCATAAAATATATTAGTTGATATCACATCACTATTATTAAATTTTTAATAAAAGAAACTTATAAGATATGATCATAGTCAAATTGTAAATATAAATAATTTTATTATTGAACGATAAATATATTAACACATTGATTTTTACTTTTTTTTTCTCTTTTACTGTGAATAATGGTTAAAACTATAGAAGATAAAAAGGAAATTGTTAGAAGTTTAATTAGTCTTATTTGGGAAGCTACTGATGGAAAAATTAAAAAAATTGTTTTTAATAACCAATCACGTTCAGCAGCAATTTTTTTAAGTGATGACACTGAGGATACCGAAAACTTGAATGTATTTGGAGTAGTTTTAATTGCTGAAGAAACTTATCAAAAAATCATCAATGATCTAGCTGACATGAAGGGGAAAGATTCTATTGCTACTAAAGATGTATTCAATATCAAAATATTAATGAGACACGATGTTCAAACTTATTATTTAGGTCTTAGAATTAAGCTTTTGCAATGAATTAAGATAATTTTGCTTATAACTGTCGGCAAAGCTAATTCTTTTTTTGAACTAATATATGGAACTTCTTTATCCCGTGAAGTTTAGTTTCGTTATCTTTTTCTTCGATTTCTTTTAATATTTCAGAAAGCTTCAGATATTATCCAATAGTTTCAGTTTCTTCCAGGTTAAGCCATTTTTTAGATTCCATAATAATATCCTCAAGAATTTTGCTTTCTATTTTTTGAACTTCATCGCTATCTTTTTTCGAAGCTTCGAACTTGAACTTGAAACTTTGATCTTCTTTGAAATTAGACATAGTGGATGCTGAATCGTTGTGAATTTTAAAATATCAAAAACTGCTTGATAAGTTTCAATAATTTTACTCAATATATATCAATAGCATACACACATACTGTAAGAATTATTAGCTCTATATATATCTTGTATTACTATCAGAAAAGCAAGTTTTTATTTCCACTATATTATGCATAGTAAACTAGTATATATGTTACTGTATATATAGTATATTGCAGATCTTATATATTTCTTAAACTTGTTTTTTAAAGGTTTAATGCTAATGGTATTAAATTATATTGTTTATTATTTTATGTTTACAGTATATCTAATAATAAGATGATGATGGGTCCGATACACATTTATCTTTTTTATATAGACTTCATCAAACTAAAATCTGATAAATTTGCTCGCTTGTTCACCCCTTTTCTTTTTCCTTACAAGAAAGGTCCTTCTCTTGAATACCTAGGTAATAATCTTTTTAGAAAAAATGTGTACAGAATTTATCTAGTATAGATTATTACATAAATAACATGCAGCAGAATTCTGTTTGCATGCTATTTTAGTTTATAAAAACTTATTATTTAATGTTGTTTTAATTTGTTTATCTAGGAATTATTAGACTGAGATTGTTTGTAATAATGTCTTTCAAAAATGCTGATCAGCACTTGGTTCCCAACCAAAGAAAGAATATGATTTTATTTCTATAAACTGGCATAAGCGGAAATAGCAAATTCCTAATGCATCTAATGAATTATGTTCATTTATTTATATCTTTAAAAGAAAACTATCAAAAAAATATTAAATTGGTCGAAGACATTGAACACTTGAAAAATGAAATTAAAAATTATGAAATCGTTAGCATTGCGATTAATGATGGCTCTGAGATTCAAAAAAATATTTTCTCAAAGCAGTCAAATTATAACTTCCAGTGTGGTAATGTATTTAATAACGCTGAAAGACTGAATCGTAACTTATGCTTGAAGCATAAACGTCTAATTAATAAACTTAAAGAACCCCAAAAAAATAATGCAGTTTTCGGAGTTGTAAGCAATTATAAAAATACAGAAGTATTATATAAGATTGGTTTATAAAGATTTCTTGAGACTCAATCCATTTATTATTATTTATGATGATAATAATAAGCGATTTACTCCTGAGTCTTGAACTTTGCTTTATAATGAAATAAAATTTATTTTCTAAATTCAAATATCACGCTTTAAAAATTTTCGTATATCTATTTGATTTAAATTTAATTTTGTTCTTATTGTCATTTGCAAAAACAAATTTTAGAGAAAAGACTTTACTATTAATCACATTAAATTCATTTTTGGTCAAGACTAGTATATGAAAATTTTAAAAAATCATAAACAGTTGCTTCATATAAAAGTCAAAATTTTACTTAGTAAACCATCTTTGGGCTTATACATTGTAATAATGACCCATAAAAAATGATGGTAGAATCAGGGTAGAATTAATTTTGGTAGAATTAATTTGTAACTCTGGTAAACATAATTTTGGCGGCAGATTTATTCATAACTCTGGTAAATATAATTTGGTTAATTCGTGCTATAACTCTGGTAATTATAATTTTGGTAGAATTAATTCGTAACTCTGGTAAACATAATTTTGGTAGTAGAATTAATTCGTAACTCTGGTAAACATAATTTGGTAGAATTGATTCGTAACTTTGGTAAATATAATTGCTCATAACTAGGGTTGTGTTACATAAATTACAATTTTATATTTTCATGTAATTTTGTGTAATTTTGCGAGTTTCAAACCTTTTTACTAATAAAATGGTAACCGTTTTACAAAAACC